CAAAGAGTCCATCGGGAGTGATGAAAGCGGTTTTCTCCCGATCGACTTCATCTACGTTGATTTGCCAGTAGCCGGCTCGGAGGTCGATGGACGAGAAGTACTCAGCTCCATGTAAGCAGTCGAGAGTGTCGTCTATTCGTGGGAGGGGATAAACGTCCTTTTTGGTTATTTTGTTCAATCGGCGGTAGTCGACGCAAAAGCGCCAAGACCCGTCTTTCTTTTTAATTAGGACAACTGGGGCTGACCAAGGGCTTGAGGACTGTTGAATGATATCTTTAGCCAGCATGCTGTCTACTTCTTGCTGAATAACGCGGCGTTCGCTCGCAGAGACGCGGTAAGGACGCTGATGAATGGGGACTTCCATACCGGTATCGATACGATGGGTAACGGCAGAAGTTCGGCCAAGAGGACGATTGTTAAGGTCGAAAATGTCGTGGAATCTGGAAAGTAGGGTGTGGAGTTGTTGTCTTTTGTCTGGGTGCAACTTGGCGTCTATCATATTTGTGAATTGTAAAGAGCCAGGGTACTGCAACTGCTGCGAAGTAGTAGCTTGAGAGCCATTTTGTGAAACAGCTGAAATGACACATTGGTTAGTCGGGAAGCTCGTAGCTATGGTCGTACCCTTAGCTAAGGTTTGAGTAGACGTACCAATATTCGTTATCCAAATATGGGCTGTGCAACTGCATATAGTGGTGACTGAGTGGGGTAGGGCGAGTTGTTTCGATAACAAGATGTTCATATTCGGTGCAATTACGTAATCACCACTTTCTGCAGGTAGGTTAGTGGTGACGTCTAGGGAGACAGTGGCAAGGGGTGGAATTCTCAAAGTTTCGGCACAACATAATTTATACTCCATTAATTTAGAAAGTTCACATGTGTCACCTCCGCCGAGTTCTATTTTTCCCTTTTCACAGTCAATAAGGGCTGCGTGTGAAGAAAGAAAATCCCAGCCTAGGATGATTTGATGGGGACAAGTCGTCAGTACCGTGAAAAGAACAAATGCTGTGTCGCTATCGAATGTAATGCGTGCACCGCACATACCGAGTGACAAGATAAGCCGACCGTCTGCGCTCCGTAGAGTTTTTGTGTCGGGTGGGGTCATCACTTTCTTTAATTGTCGTCGGAAATCTTCCCTCATTATGGAAATAGCGGCGCCTGTGTCTACAAGTGCATGCGTCGGTATACCGTCAATATAAATGAGCATTCGGTTACGAGCGGTGCCAAAAGTACTGTGGAGAGGATTTTCGGCCAATCCGTGGAATGCAGCCTCACCTCCTGAGGCCGCATGGCTTAGTTTTCCGAGCGCCTTGAAGTGAAGGACGGCGACGAAGGGCGACGGCGAACAGGCGATAGGGATTGGCGGCGGTGTGGAGACGGCGATCGATGATTATGCAACGGGACATGAAGTGTGTTGTCTTGAAAATCGCGGTGATTGGGAAAAGAAGAAACCTGACCATTGTACGGGCGACGGCTTATAGCTGAAAATGGACGTTGTTGTATGCTCCAATTATTGCGGCAGTAGCGAGCGACATGGCCTGCCCTGCTGCAATTGAAGCAGATAGGACGGTTGTCAGGCGTGCGGCACTCAGCAGGGTCTCGACGGCGGCGTGGTATAAACCCGGGTGTAGCAGCTGGTGAACCCAAGCTGCAGCAGTCGGCCGCATGGGCATGTACCTCCGGTGGGGTGCGGCACCATGGACGCTGAGACGAGTCATAAAGCCTGTCCAACTCTTTCCTGACGACGCTTTGCACGACGGAGATAGACACAACGTTCGTTGCCGAGTCGGAAAAAGGGGCAACGGTTTCCGACGGCATCATGGCTTCAAGTTCGCGACGAACAATTTTTGTTATTTTGGTTGACGTCGTGTCAGTATCCTCGCATGATGATGTCGAAGGGGTGTTAGGCAGTCTCTCGAACTTGTGTGCGATTCGACGAATTTTTGCCGCCTCAAACCGACGGCATTCCTTGAGCACATCTTCGACAGTCGTACAGTCCTTGATGATGAGGAGTTGAAAAGCATCATCCGCAATTCCCTTGAGGATATTGGCAATCCGGTCAAGCTGGGGCATTTCAGGATTAGCTTTACGGCAGAGGGCGAGGACGTCCTGGATGTATGTAACATAGGACTCCGTGGACGTTTGTACTCTTGATGCCAGTTTTCTTTTTGCAGCGAGCTTGCGTCCAGTTGGATGGCCAAAGAGGTCTTCCAATTTGGATTTACACATATCCCACGATGTAAGTTCTTCTTCGTGGGTCTGGAACCACGTGAGAGCGGTATCCTTCAAGTAGAATGGTATATTTGCTAGCATGATCATGTTGTCCCAGCGGTTGTGGGCGCTCACTCTCTCGTAGAGATCTAACCATTCCTCTACTTCTTGCTCACCCGTGCCGGTGAAAGGCCCAGGGTCAGGAGGCTTGGCGAGGACCAAAGGTTGCGTCTGTACAGGGGGTGGGGTTGACCCAGAAGCTCCGCCTTCGGGAGGGGTGCCGGACGCACTCGTCATGCTGGGCGGAGGCGGGAGACGTCGGTTTCGCAGGTCCAGGTCGGCAACCAGTGTACCCCGCACCTCCACCAAAAGGTGTTACGGTGAAAATGGGGTTTATTCACAGGTGATTGAGATGGTAGAAAATAGAGGTGACAGTGTCCGTTGCCAGCAAAGCCAAAAACCAACGATCCTCTTCTTCTTCTCTCCTCCAACTCGCTCCCAGACCACCTCTTCTTTATCCTCGTAATAATATGCTTTGGAAAAAACTCTCATCTTTCAAAGTATTTCACTCGTCGAACGTCCACTTGAAGCTTCCAGTAACCGGTCTCAAAGCTTAGGATCCTACTGCCCCTCATGTTTTCTGAATATTTGTGCTTATTTCACTGGGCCCAGTTCACATGGCAGACTTGGAAAAAAAATTCATACATTAATAAACAAATCAGTTGAAGGCATGTTTTGACGTTCATCACTAACATCTCAATGGCGTCGCGAGCTTTACTCTCATTGGCAACAATTTCGCTGCCGGTAAGCAAAGATTACAACCGCATGACTCTACGAACTTACCGCAGGGAGTAAATCATTCATGATCCATAGATGTAAATTTGAGAATTTAAGACTGCCAGAAAAAATGCAAACGTGTCCTGGAAACTAAAAAATCCTGCCGCCCACAAGACAGCTAAACGACTTGGAAAGCCACTAAACGGGCAACACCAGAGCCAATCCCAGCCGCTAAAATACCTTCTATGGTTTTTTTTCGTTAAAAACCCGTCGACGTCTCTCGTACACTCCCCTGTCGGAAAGCTCCGAGCTACCTAAACTTTACCCAAAGCCACGTCCAAATGCCCCAACAGCCTTCTAACGCAACGGGGTCTGGGTGCCTGCTCCTGGGGCGGCTTCGAGATTTCTCACTACTAGCCGACTCGTTGTCACCCCGTCAAACGCAAGCCAACGACTTCTTTGATGGCCATACCAATGTTTATGACGTGGAAGACCCGAGAAGAAAAGGGTCACAGTGCTCATGCATCGTACACGAGACGCGGCGTTTGCTGCAGACAGGGCGAGAGAATGTTCTGCGGGCACACCTCGAACACGAGTGGTCCATCGCACGAGAAAGAAATGCGCCTCGGACGGTTTGGGCAGACTGTCTTTTGTACGATGCATTAGCAGTGTGACCACGACTTTAGTTGCCGGTTCTTCTCGGGACAATCATTAGCGGTTCCCGAGTGGTTTGTGACTGTAGTCGGTTGTGGACCATGAATTTGGTAGGGGCTCCGTCTCCGGCAAACGCCGCGTCTGCCGATTTCTCGACCCGTCGCCTACTGGGGGCTCCGTCTTTTCGGTACGCGCCGATGAACTTCGAACAGGTTCCATCGAAAATCGGGGAAATATAGAAAAAACCCTCAAATTGGAGCTGCCCCCTTAGTAAGAAAAGCCCAGAGATTCATGGGGAGGAATCATTACCTAGAGCTTTATTTTGTGTTGACCCAAGACGGTGGCCCCCCCTCCCACCCCCTCACCGAAAGGCCAGCAAGGCTGCTGCCTTGTTCTCAATCGCGCCACCTATCCGGCTTTCTCGTGTCGATGCCGGGATGTCTTCCAGGCATTCGGATTGCACGCACGTTCCTTGTAGGTTGGAGAATCCTGCACATGTGCTTTGTTTTCTTCGAAGCCAGCCCCAATAAACGCCGATCTTTGTCCTACACCAAAAGTCGACACTGAAAAACCCCCATATCTGCGAGATAGAATAGACACCCAGAAGTATGCGACCCGATACAGGACCTACCGGGACAATCCAAACGTAACCGTCGCATCGGTCTGGTTGGCCACCGCTACGCAGTCGTCGGGCGCAGGATGCATTAACCACCTGCAGGCCATGCTTAGTTTTTATTAAGAAAAAATGCCTGTACGACTTGCACTAGAGTGTCACCACTCCATTCCTAGATTTTCTTGTGGGTGCCGCCATTTCGATGCCTAGGGCAGGGCGGCACAGTTGGCAAGCGTTACGATTCGAAAATGCACCTTTCCGAGCCTTAGGCATGATGTCCAGAAGCTCAAGTGACATTGTTTCACTCTGGCACTGCTTACTGCTCCGACGTTCGCGGAGGATGGTAAACCACTTCAGATTGATTAGATGCACCAAGACGGCCGAAGTGTTGCAACCCTGAAGCGTAGCTTGCTTGCAACGTTGCTTGCTTGTTGGCTCTGGTTTGCACCATGCTTGCTTCTAAGTGGGTAGAACGAGGGTTCACGTCTCAACATTGCAGCACTTCGGTTGCGGGCACGTTTTAACCCTGGAACATGCAAAACGATCCTAACGTGGTTTCACGGTATGAAATTTTGCATCCGGATGTAAATTCCGGTGCAGTGGCAAGTAATCGGAGGATTTGCGAGATTCACTACAGACGCAAAAACCCAGCCAAGAATTATCTTCCATGCTCCAAACGTTGTTTATGCATGGGCAAAGGCTGTACACAGAACAAAATCAGAAAGTAGGTAAGTAATGACGAGGCTGCTAGCTTCAAACAACACTTTTATTGAAGACTGACGCACTGTAACACAAAGGGCTGCATGGATGCATTGCAGAAAACCGGAACAGAGAAGCAGAAGACAGGACTCTTTGTTTGCAAAACAGACTTTTTGCCTGAATGTGTGCGACAATGATAATAAATGTGATAAGGCAACAAGGTGCCTAAGCAAGAGAGAAAAAAAACATTGGCTACCAAAATCTAAAAAAAACAAAACACTATCTTCTTCGAGCCACTGCAATCTAGTCCAGGAAACACTATATAGCAAATGAAAAAGAGAAACGCCCTAGAAATATCTGCAACTGAGTCAGGCCAGCACTCAAACCTTGACAAGAACTCGTGACTAATCATAACCCCAGGTTGAATGGAGTAGCCGAGGTTCACTAGCAGTCTTGAGCTCATTAAGCGATTTGTCAGCTTGCAAATCGAACGTTTCCCTCGCCGAACTTGCCAAATAGTCCACGCTTCGAATACGGAAGCTGAAATCCGTCGAAACTACATGGAAAACAAACCAACATTACCTGTGCACGTGCGCACAATCTCAACACGTCGCAATCAAGTCTACAGTCAGTGGCAGGTTAAGAATGCAGTGAAAGCTCCGGCTCCAGCACATGCTCATTGCTTTCCGTCAGATTCTCGCTGCATGTGCAACAATGTTATTAAAAGCAGAAAGCTCACCCTGAAGTGGAAGAGCATCTACTGCATACACCTACTATGGCAGACATCATACACAAAATACACCTGTCATTCAGCCATTCAAGACAAGAGACATTGTTGACAGCCTTCAGGTGATGTTCTGGGACTGCCACAAAAGAATAAATGCCATCTCTTAGCCGAACACATGCAGAGCTCACCCCTGTTTCTATGTGGTACTCCAAAATCCAAGCTGCCACATACATGAAGAAAGCCTATAAATCTGAATAGTCCCTTTTAACCAGACACCAGCTTCATAAATGTGGTCTTAGCACCACTATAAAGGCCCGTGCTCACATGACTGAAAAGGTTCCAAAAAATACAAACATAACAAATGCACTATTCCTGAATGAAAACGGGAATATTTTCCTTCAAATGTCAATGAGTCTACTGTTGGAGGTGGTTGACCTGATGCACGCCTGGTGCTAACAAATCTTGAGCCTTCCTTTAACAATGCCCAAGTTCATTGAAGAAATCTTAATTTGAGCAACACTCACTCAGCACAGTGTCATATTGTACCAAAGTTATTAAAAAGGAGGTCCATTTTAACCAGACTCAATTCAATAGGTAATGTCAAATGATGAACTCCTCTTAAAACAAAGCTGACATGGAGTACCTTGAAAGACAAACTATGACATAATATTTCAAAGCTAATCATAGAAGCAATAAATTGACAACAGTTCATGTGGATAATAAAAAAAAGTTTGACAAGACTGAGGCAAAGAAAACAAATATTGGAAGTCCCACACTAAACGAGAATGTGAAAAACCAGATGTCTAAAGTGAGAGTTTGTCTAACCTAGCAAAGAACAAAAAAATGCGGCACCAAAACACCAAAAATACTGCAAAGTCTCGTTCACACAAGTGGCGCAAGTTCGAAAAGACGTCGAACAAGACGGTTTAGATTTCAGTCACTCAGATGTAAAAAAAACAACGGGACATCTCGGTCGCCCATCTTGACTCCTTAACTCGACCATGGCATCCCCTCCATGCTTCTTCAAGTGTAGCTAAATATCACCTGTCCAGACGTCCTTTTCAACTACTTCAGCCGAGAATAGAATAGCTAAAAACTATGTCTTGTCATTTCTAATCAATGGTAGATTATAATCAGTCTGAATCTGAAGAAGAAAACACAAACCCAACAGGCATTTCTGATACCAAGGATTGCTGTCAAGACAGGCACCTAAAATTTTCGTGAAAAGTGTATTTAAGTACCGGGTTTTACCACGCAAAATTTTAAGGCATAGCTCCGTTCCTGAGACAAACGAGAACATCCTCAAAAACATTAATGCGAGCGATGATGATGGTCAGGTTCAGTGATCCCCTTCAAGGGTGGCAATATTCCAATTTTTCGCAGAAAAGAAGCTACGCAAACGTGATTCCCCAAGGTGAAACCCACCACTAATATACACTTTGAAAAATGAGAGCTCACTATGTTGACTGAACAAATTTTCCGGGTCATTTTTCAACAAGCCTTGCAATTCAAAACACCGTATAGATGCACTCAAAATTTGCTTTGTCACACCGACTACCCCTAGACTGTGCTAATTTGCACGACAGCCCAGTTCGCATATTTTTTATCGAGTCATTTGTGCCCTGCCATAACAACCTAGCCAGAAAGAATGGGGAAAGGCTGAAAATTAAACTCCAAAAAGAAACCCCACAGTTAAGCCGGCCAAGCATCAGTTGCTGTTCTGCTAAAATCTGCAGTCGTCAAAATATCCTAAAGAAGCTGGTCGTCTACATTCTGTTTCAGCATAACAGCAAAAGCTACAGCCCTAGAGGGCCAATCCGAGTGTTGGAGCAGGGCACGTGACAGCGTACCATCAGAGCAACCATTACAATAGTTTTCATGTGCTTCGCTCTGTTGCTTCAACTGGCTCACAAGGTATGTAGCTTTCGCCTTTAACAAAGTTACGCCGAAACGAAGTGTGGTAAATCATCAACGGCCGTCTCAAGAGATGTTTCCTGCGAATCTCATTTCAAGTAACGCGACAAACCGCTTAGCTCACAACAAAGCGCACCCTGAAGATGCTGTCCTTCACGAATCCGCCCTGAAGCATCTGCGACGCCAGGATGCAGCTGTCAATGCCCACCGCTGGATTCTCTTCCGTCCGCGGACGACTGAGCCCGGCGTTGGTCGCGTTCTGCCTCTCCTCTTCGTCCAGACTCTCGCCGACCGTGAACGTCAGGTCACGGTGCCTGTGCTTCGAGTGCACCAGGACAAACGTGCACTTCTTGTTGAACGGCCACTCAAGGCGAGCGTCGTTCTTGCCCCTCAGCAGACGAAGGTAGAGTCCCAGTGTCAAGCTCGTGCCGCTGACCATGTGGAACTTGCCCTCGAGCCTCATTTTGTAACCGTTCTCACCGACGTAGAAATTATCGCTGCTAAAGATCTTGGCCGGAGTGTGCCGGAGCTTACGGAACTGCTTTACGGCCCAGTTGAAGGTGGTCAGCGGCTCGGGGTTCAGCTCGGCTGCAGGACTGGCTTCGGAACTGGCTTCTTCTTGCTGCTCCTGCTGCTGCTGCACCTGGTTAGCAAACGACTGCGAATCTGCGCCGTCACGCTGGCTTGTCTCAGACGGAGTATCTGAGCTCAGGCTGTCTCCTGAGGCGCGCCCGTTCAGGAGTGGCGGCGGCGCCTCCAGAGCCGTACTAGAGACTTCGGGCTGCTCAGACTGGACGACAGTACCCTGACTACCGTCGGTGGCGGCAGCATGCGACCTGTCAACCAGGATATGCTGCAGATCGCGGGTCCGAGCGAGGATGACTTGCTCGAGGTTGTCGATCTTGGACAAGATGATCGTCAGGTTGGCGTTATTGTCAGCGTCTGAGCCGCCGGCGGTAGCGGCCGACGCGCCCGTTGGAGTCGTCGCCGTCTCGGCGAGCACGGTGTCGGCGCTGCAACCGTCGCGAACGTGCGTCAGGACGTTGGCGCGCGTCGTGGACCTCTTACAGACGCGACAGCGGACCTTGTGGAAGCTGCACTCGGAGTCGTAGTGCTCGATCATCTCCGAAACGGGGCCAACGTAGTTGCAGCCGGTCGCCTTGTTCAGGCAGTAGGACTTACAAGAAACGACGTATTCGGCAGACGACGAGTCTCGGCTGACGCGGGCGTCTTCGAAGGCGAGCTTGTCGAGGGGGCAAACGGTCGCCGGCGAATTGACCATGATCTCGTTCATACACGTCGGGCAGAAGACGTGGGCGCATTCGAGGCTGAAGATCATGTCCGGCACAACGCCGCAGACGCTGCATATTCGGTACACGGGCATGGGGAGCAGGAATTCGACGGTCTTCCAGTTCAGTTTGGGCGAAAAGCCAACACACGTGAAGCCGTGGGACGCCATTGTGTTGATCGTGGGTGCTTCCTTCTTTGCGTTTTTGACCGTTTCAGATTTGACAGCTTCTTTATAGCTTCTTTTTGATGGTGCGAGTTCGGAAAGCTGGGGTTCGTGACTCCCCCTACGTACGTTTTGAGATCCGTGACGTCACGCAAAAGGCTTGACATTTTATTGTATTAGCTCATTTAAAATTAGTTCCCACTAGTCGTTTTATGAGCCTAAATATATAAATTATAAATGTCAAACTTTAAACTTCAGTTGTTTTTCTTTTGCGCGATCGTTTGGTACCCAATATTGGTTTAGCTCGGTCGCTGCAACGCGAGAGCGCGAGTGAGGCTTTCGGACAGCCATCTTGCATGCGGCGTAATCGCGTTTCTGCTAGCGTTGCAGACGCTGGCGGCAGCGCAACTGAAGACACGTTTTCTACTCGTTCGTCGTCATTCGTCGGAGGCGTTTTTTAAGACCCTATGTAAGCATTGAGACTTGTCGTTAAAATAACGTGGAAATTTCTACGAAGGCACAGTGCAGCAGGAAAGAGGCAGAACTCGTCGAAAGCAAGTTTCGCCGTCTCGCGGCGTGATCAGAGGTTCCTTTACACGCCGAAGTGCTGCGTCTGTGCCTTCGCACGCTTGGATACCGGTGAGGATTTGACTCCGTGTGGATGTGCTTTGCGAGTGCAATGTGCGTGAAGCCGCATGTGCCTCTAGAGCAGCGTTTTACTTTACTCTGTCGACTGTATTTGTAACTTGCGGCACTCACAGTCCAGAAACGAGCTTGATCCAGCGTTCAGTGGCGACAGAAGAAGGAAGGGGGGGGGGGGGGGGGTAAGGTACGTCTTTTTTTTTTTTTCGTAGTCAGACAGTTTGCAGGATACCGTGCAACAGCTATTCATCACTGATCAGTGCTCTGGCTAATCAACAATTGTACGTGATATCAAGTTTGAGCGCGGCTCGCCTAATTCTCATTGGTCAACAGGTTGCACACGACGATATGGGCCCCTCTTCAAAGATTTTTCAATTTCGCCGCCTTGTACTTTTGCCTCCGAAAGCCATCATTCCTCCACAGCGTTGCTCCATTTGTGCTGCCATGCGATTCATCAGGGTACATTTAGAACATAGCCATGGTTAATAGTGCATAAGAGCAACCGTACAGATTGTTTTCCTCCCTTTTTTGATAGCAGGGTTAAGCAGTATCGCGATACAAATGTATCGCGATAGTATTTCAGAAATATATTTCGTATCTGTATTCCTGTATCGCGATAAATTTTTTTCACCAGTATCTGTATTCCTGTATCGAAATACATTTTGGAATGTTTGTTTGTATCGCGATACAATCAGGATAAAATGTATTTCGTTACATTTCTTGAGAAATACCCCCCCCCCCCCCCCCCCCCCCGAAAGTCCGAACGCATATTTTTTTATTTGTTTTTTTTTTTTACTTCTCAGGGCATCAGGGTTAAGAAGACCCAGCTAAAAATTATCATTAGCTCCAATTGGAATTCTAACTGGTTTTAGTTGGAACCAATCGGTTTTAATGGGTTCCAATTGGAAGCACACTGGCCAATGGGTCTCACCAGTTGGAAACTTAATGGGTTTCAAGTTCCCGTTGGTTCCCATTGGTTCCCATTACAGTGACCAATTGGTTGTCCGAAAACCTAACCCGTACCAATGGGAATTTCCAATTGGAATCTAATGAGAATTTTCGACTGGGGATGCTGGGGCATTGTTGCTATGCTGACGAAGGTTCCTTCTGATTCTCCCAACTATTTTTCTATGCGTCCTCTTCTCAATTCTGAGAAGTGTTGCGTAGTCGGAGACTCGAACCAGGTGGCGTGCCAAGAGTGGAGTCAGAGCATCTTCCGCCGCAGGTCCTTAGCTAGGGATTTCTTGAGTCATTGTTTGCTGGCATCCAATGCCCGCTTATAAATGTATTTCTTGCCTTAGCGTACACAGTACACCCGTGAGCGATTTGAAGGTGAGCAGCCCTCTTCTTGTTTTCTGACGCTCCTGCAACAAGCTCTGTTCCAGAAGAGGGCTAGAACGCAAAGTTTAGACCCCAAGCCACGTACCATTTGAAACGTTGGGAGTTAATATAGCTTTAGGGAGCCGTAAAACGGGCAAGACCAGGTAAGGTGTTTACCTTCATATTGCCGGCGGGTGTACACCACTGTTGCAGCACGAGCCTGGCGGTGGTTGTCTTGAAATAGTAGGATGACTCACGCACTGCAGTTCAACACATATTCGAATGCGTCTGCGGCTGCGCCAGTAATATTGCACGGCTCTAGGGTACGTCATCAGCCGATATGAACGTAACGCGCTGCTCTGGGGATCCGAAACTCAGGAAGGAGGCCAGACGTGGCCTCGCTGTGCCGATCCAGACTTCGTACACTTGCGACTCGTCTCGGGCTCGCTGTTTCTCGGAGAGCTCGCACCTGTGCTGGCAATATCAGGTCGCAATCCACGAGGTCTTTGTTTGGGTGATATTAGGCGAAACTTTATTACTGTAATCCATGCGTCGGGGACAGAGGGTCGGCAGGAAGGACCTTCACAACAGGGATGCCATAGTATCTTTTTTTCAAGGCAGTGTCTGCGTCGACCCGGTCTACGCAACGCCCAGCGTTGGGTAGACCCAGAATTGTGATTGGCTATTAAGAAAAAGTCACGTGTCTATATAAATTGAGTGAATTATTTTGTTAAGGTTATTTATATAAATTTTAAATTAGTAGAAATGAAATTATATTAGATATATGAAATGCATTCTGAAATAATTATTATGTGTAATGTCACGTGTTACATTTGATGAGGGGCGGGAGAATCCCTTCGGTTTCCCGCGTTTTGACCGTTGTTTACTTTCTTCGGCTCCTGGTGTTCCTGCAACCTTCGCAAGTCCACCTCTATTTGTCGTGAACCCTCGTTTCTGAGCGTTGATCTTCCCTTCTTGGTGTCTTGTTGATTTTTTTCACGTATTTATTTCTTTCGCGAGATTCCGATTGCCTTTGTAATTAGCCCAAAACTCGGGTGTACCACGTGCTTTGATATCTGGGGGTTCCGTGACTGGGACAACTGGGGTTTCTTGTGGAAAGACCTTCGGCATTTTCCTATTGAAACCAGACGTGGCTGTCGAGATTCAGTCGATTCGTTCTTTAGCGGCGATTAAGCGTCTGTTCGTCATGACTGCTGGATTGACGGTCATCCTCCCGAGGCAAAGCAGCCCGCGGTGGACGTGCCGAGGTTCTGCGGGAAAGAACAAGGATGCCCGGGAGACGAACACTTTCTGCAGGAACCACAAGGCAGGCCATGGTTTCATCGAACAGCCGGGAGTGGAGCGGGATGCTGAAGGATAGAGGCGCTCACTTCAGTGAGGTCAGTCGATATGGTGAAGTTTATTTCTTCATCTGTCATTTGATTACTGCAGCACACCACCCTCGTTCTGAAAATAAGGATGCAGGGGTAAACGTTTGGCAAGCAGAGGCAGTTTGTGTGCTATATAGATCAGCATGAAATATTTGCAGTGGTAGGCTCATAGGTTTAACCTCTTGTCCAGTTAAGACCATAATATGCTCTGCATGCTGACATTGTTATTATATCTTTCTTATGTTGACATCTATTATGCTTAAAATACTCTTTGTCGCATCCCTACAAAAGCCCCAACAGAAGGGTGGGCCAGGTAATGGGCGAAGTCACATAATCACTTTCCCCAAGCCCTTAATCTAATGACTAACAAGCCTACCTTCACAATTTTGAGCTTGAACCACAGTTTGCTCTCGCAACAGTGGCCACGGGGCAACCGTTGCCAACTGCACCACCTTAAAGCCCCTTTACGTTTCAAAAGTAGTGCAAGGTGCGCCGATGCACAAGGTACGTGCTACGTGCAGCCCTTGGGAAGATCACGGCAGCACAGCGCAGCACTGAGCTAAATTTCAGACGCCATGTTCTTCCTAGAAGGTGGTGCGCAACGCAAGTCTCGAGCATTTCCACAAGAATGAATGGTGCCGCTTTTCCCAGGATAAGAGGGGCTTTACACCACCTACGAGCCATCGGAGCCAATCCAAGGCCCCGTGAGTGTTAAGGCTGATCCACACATACAGCGGAGCGCTCAGTTAGCGCTTCATGAGCGCTGGAAGCAGCGCTCGGTTGTCGCTTTAGCAACGCAGTGTAAGCGCGCTCCTTGTGCCGTGATTGCGGCTGCGAAACAGTGCATGCACGGCGATTCCATTGTTATTTTTTCTTTGGCACTGAAAGAAGAGGAAGTAAAAGAGCCGCCTTTCAAGCAAAGGGTCGGGCGGACGATTCAGAGTCATAGACTCTGAGCGACTAATTGATTGGGTACGACCTTATCACTTTCTATTCGACATACGTGATCCTGGTTTCAAAGACGCGCAATTAAAAAATAATCACCTTCGAAAGAGCTCTGTGTCTCGGTCCCTCGGCCTGGGAACGAGGTTCACCGGATACCCGTCGATATCTCGGTGGCGAAAGATTTCGCGCACTCAGAAGGCTCTTCTGGGCGTTAAGTTGTCCACACACATATGCACTAATTTTGTATGTAAGGGCATTTGTCGCGTTTCTATTTCAGCATCCCGCATGTCCGCCATGGTACGTACTGTTGATGCACACCCAACCACAGGAACCTGAACATCAGTACACATGCTAATCTGCAGCAATAACGGTCGTGCAAGGAGCGCTACTAAAACGCTGATTGCACGCTATATTAGAACTAAGTCACGCGCAAGGAAGCACCACATGAGCGCTCTTTGGAGCGCTCACATAGCGGTAACTTAACGCTCCTCTGTATGTGTGACCAGGCCTTTACTTGACCTTGAAGAGGGTGACATGCGTAGAGCATATTACGTGCTACGTTCGCAGAGCTGGGTTGACTGAGATGGCTCGGAGCATCCGCTGCGGTGGGACGTGATGTGAAACAGTATGTACACCTGTTGCAAAAATACACATTGATGCTATAGTTGTTGAAATAGGGGAAGTACTCTCACTGTCAGTGGACGATTTTGCAAATGTGGGTGCTTCCAGTAAGCACTGTAGAGAATGGACCCTTTTCCTCTCTTCTGGTTCGAGAGTACAAAATGCATGTGTTGCTAGGCTAGGTGGAAACAAGGCTGCCATTTTGCTTG